GGCCTAGCCTCCGTGGACTTATTGACACATTTAATCGCAACTTGTAATAGGTTAACCATCCTCTCCTCACTAGCCCCTTGGCCTATCAAATTTCTATCGAACACTTCAACAGTCCATTCTTCACAAACCACAGCCAGAACCCAACTAGCCAGGTCTAATCCATTGTTCAGGGGCATTTTTCCAGTAAGCATTTCGAGAAGGATCACCCCAAATGCATAAACATCTTCTTTGAAATTTTCTTTGGATGCCTGGAAACTATTGACACTTGAAATAATGGACCGGTCTTGATTGTCGACTACCATTAGACCGTATTCACTTATCAATGGATCCATGTTCGTATTGAGCAAAATATTTGAGGATTTCAGGTTCCCGTGGGCTATTCCATCGTAGTGTAGTTTATCGTGCATGAATACTAAGGAATCGGCTATGGTGGATGCAACAAATATTCGGCTTTCCCAATCAAATGCCTGGTCAGTCTGGTTTCCTGTAAGTTTTCCAAACGCAAGTTTCACAAATGTAACAAATGAGATAAAACCATCTTTAGATGAAAAAAATGAAAATAAAAATTTTAAGTGGAATTACCATGGATTAGCCTAAAAAGACTCCCATTTGGTTGATATTCATAGACCAGAAGCTTTTCCTGTCTTGAACTGTAGAAGGCAACAGCAGGCAATACATTAGGATGCTTCACTTGGTCGAGTCTTCTCATTCTCTGCTTAAAATCATGGCTCGATATTGTCCAGTCTTTAATCCTTTTCACAGCAAGAGTAGTCCCTTGAGCTTCACAACTCACTTTGTACACACTACCGTGATTTCCTCTCCCAAGCAACTCTGCCGGCGCCTTGAGCAAATCCTCGAATCTCAGTCCATTCACCTCCGGACTTGTAAGAACGATAAGTGATGAAGAAACCATGGATTGATCAGCTGAAATAGTTGAGATTCCTGTTTTACTTATCCCTCCGGCCTTCAACTCCACAGTCGAGAAACTAGGCTTGATCATGCTATCATCAACTGCGGCTACCCTGTTGTCGGCCTCGAGTTTCTCATCATTTCTCTTGCCTCTTTTGTATAGCCAGAGGAGGATGAGGAAAAGTACAGCTAACCCTATCAGAATATAGCCTGAATACATCAGAATCTGATCGTTTGAATTGCCATCTTTTGGTTTGTCTGGTGGTGCTGAGGGTTCCGACTGTGAGGCTAATGGTGACCAACATTTGTTAGAGAGGGGGGCTCCGCATAATTGAGGATTATTGAGGTAGCTATTAATGTCAAAATGAATCCCTCTATCAGGAATTTCTCCACTGAAATTATTGTTTGAGACATTAAACAGGGACAATTCTGAATAATCAAAATTCGGTATTGCACCGATAAATTGATTATTTTGAGCCTGAAACACTTCCAAATCAGATATCTCGGGCAGATCAGGCAAAGGGCCGGAGAATTTGTTCCGAGATATATCAAGGCTTTTGAGATTCTTTAACTGGGAAATCGAGGTCGGGAGACTACCCAAGAAGTTGTTCCCCCCGATAAGCAACTGAGTTAGTTGGCTGCAGTTTTCAATTTCTTCCAAGTTTTCACCATGAATGCCGTTATCCTTAAGACTAAGGGTCTGTAGGGATTCAGCCAAAGATTGCATATTACAAAGAACGCGTGCATCCAAAAATCCTGAGAAGCTGAAGCCATCAAGGACGATATACTTTACCTTCTTCTGGTCACAAGTGATTCCTCTCCACTTATCCTTGCAGGGAAGAGAGCTCGAAGTCCAGCCCATATTGGGATCAGGGAAACCACTGTTGTTAGAAAGTTTCGACATAAACTCAACCAACACATCCCTAAATAGTTCTTCTTGAGATTTTGCCGTGTTTAGGAGAAGAAAAATCGACACAACGCTTGTCCAAATCGGGATTTGCATCATACTAGGCTCTTGGCAAACACAAGGAGGGAATTCCAATGCTGGAATTATTATCAGGTTAGTTATAAGGCCGATTTGGTGGAGTATACAGTGAGGTATTTTCTTCTTATGTAATGGAATCATGACAAAGTCACTAGAGAATTAGCTAGTGTGCCGGCCTCTAGATAAATCTCATGCTGTTGTATATAGTGTTTTCTTACTCTCAGTTGAATCATTCTTGAATTTTACACTTAAATATGTTAAACAACGTTGAAATTGTCTTAGTTAGGAATATTTACAACCGGCAATGATGTAAAAAGAAGGATTTCTTTTGGACTGTTGTTTGTTTTCTTGTTGCTGCAGTATCTACTATGGGGTTATGATTAGGATTATTATAAACTAAATTGTC